ACAGTCCCACGTATTAAATATTAATACCGTTTGGCGTTTACAGTACAGTATCAGTAAATAGTTAGTTACATGAAGCTTATTGCTGGATTTGCCTGGCTAGAGGCAATCTTATTGCATCTTGAAGTCGCTTTGGCTAGGATATGTGTTCTCTCGTACTCCAAGCCAGGTTGCCAGCGGACAAGACATTGCTGTATGACTGTCGCAAATAAGGCATGGTCCTTGACCAGCCGCAGAACACAACATGTTACTACTAGGAATCCACTTGTGTGAGAAAATAACTGCCGGACAACAACTTTCGTGATCCGTTGTTAACACGTATAACACCTATAACACGTAAAATATGGCGGCGGGCCTTCTATGTATCTACCACCACTGGAAAATGCCATTCTACCGCACAAGGTGAGCCAAGACATTGGATTCCGTCTGCCACACCTGCCGCCGTCCTCTTCCTACTCGTGATGGCCCAGAGAGTATGAGAGGCGGAACTTCCGTGGCAAAGCCTACGCCATCCGCCCATAATGACGTTAATACATAACATCCGACCATGGCGCAAGAGGAGTCCGTACATACATCGACGCTGGCCAGTTTCATACAGTGTGTATCATTAATGATATACTGTACTTAAAACCACAAACATATTGACAGTGTCTGTTTCCATCATCCCGTTCATCAGTTATTTCTGAATGTATCTGCTGGGGATTGTACCCACAGCCCAACATCTTTCGGTGACGCTTCCTCCTCTATGTTGATTTCTTCGAATGCACTATGCTATCGCATCGTCGTATGGACTTCTGGGACGTTGTAATGAATAAAGGCGGCGATCCCACACCAGAAGCACCCCCAGTGGCCCCTGTTGCGTGTCACACATGTTCCCTTCCTCGGCTTCTGCCCCAGGCCGCAGACGAGGTGAAAAAGATATCGTCAGCACCCAAGCAGGATGAGTCTTGCTCTCGAGTATCTTCAACTTCTACGACTAGTATTAATACTTTTGTGCCTTCTGATGGTGGTCATCGTC